GTTAGTAATTGGCCAGATTACGTAAAATTGAAAATTTTAAATCATACTAGACACAATAAAGATTAAAAACCCTAATTATTGAACTCATTATGTTCAAAATATGCCGCGAAATAAATCAAATGGCCGAAAAAAAAAAAAATCCAAACTTCTTACCTGATTTTGTGAACCGAAGCCTTCAATCTCCAAAAAACTCTGTTTTTCTCAACGATTATCACAAATTAGTAACAAAAGGTTTTGATTCACAGCTTTAAGATCAAAATACCTACAAAATTTGAAAGATTCATGCCCTATTTGGCATGAAACTTTCAGAAAAGGCGGAAACCCTAAACACCAAATTTTTCGTGATCCAAAAACACCAAAATTTTCAACCATTTAATCCTTGAAAAAGCTGAATAAAACTGTTTACAGCCTGCAAATTAGATCACATGCCAAAAAAACAAGAAAAATGATCAAAAAATGACAAATTTCAAAGAATCTCTTGAAGAACACTGTGCAACCCGTGTTCTTCACGGACTCGCCGATTCTGCACAGTGACTCGGCGAGTCACTGTGTAGAATCGTCCGGTTCTCTCTAGAACCAGACGATTTCCAATTTCTTAGCCAATCTGATCCCCTTTTCACGATTTTCGAGTCAAACAGGGCGAGTCCGGTTCGACTCGGCATTTTTTAAAACACTGTAAATAAGAAATCTTTTCGCTCGAAAAATTGCACCAACTTTTTTCGGTTCCTTTAACTAGGTTCGTTGGGTCTTCCTAGCTGGGTTCTCTACTTAAAAGATGCCTCCTATCTCTCTTCTCTCTCTCTCTTTCTCGAAAATTCCCCAACACCCAACCTTCCCTATATATTGTGCTCTCAAGGGAGCATACCCAACCTTCCCTATATATTGTGCTCTCAAGGGAGCATATTGTGCGTCTACTTCCTTTCTCAAAAAATCTATTTAGGAACTTTTGTTTGGTCAAATATTTTGGAATCGTATAATAGTTGCCAAATGATTATTTATGTTAACATTTAGATCTAGTCCTTCAAAAATTGGACAATCTACGTTAAATCTTGAAGTATTAGTTTTTATCGCACAATATGCTCCCTTGAAAGCACAATATATGGGTCTTTCCTCGTAAATAAATCCATATTTGTACTAATGATACTCTATATTTGTACTTATCATTTGAATCCTTATCAAAATTGTCCAATTCATCCTCATCCTTATCAAAAGCATTAGTTAATCCTCTTTCCATATTTGTACTAATGATAATCCATATTTTTACTAAGATAGGTGAGATGAGGATGAATTGGATAATTCAATCTAAGAGGTGATAAGATGAGATAAGGTAGATTTACGTCGCCTCTCTATACTGGATGAAAAAATTTAGAGGACATAATATTTCTATAAAATTCTCCATCCCTATATAGAGGGATGTTGGTTCTATTTATAATAGTTATATACTTATCATTGATTGACTTAATCAAAGGTTTGATCACATCAAATTTGTACAGATATGGAAAGAGGTTCCAATATCCTTGATTGACGATTTGATTACATCAAATATGTAGAATATGGAAAGAAGTTCCAATATATCATACTAATCCTTATCAGAAAAAGGTTACAATATATCATGGTAATGTTATCATGAATATCTTATGATAATCTTTATCATGTTAATCGTCATCAAGATCGTACTTCTAGCTAATTATCATTAGTACAAATATGGAAAGACATTACAATATATTAGGTTAATCCTTATCAGATTATATCAAAATTATATCATTTTAGACAATTATCATTCTTACTAGAAAGTGCGAGTTGGTTCAAGTAAAAAAAGACAATCGTATAAAGACATGGTTAGAAGAAATAAGAAAAAAATATAACAACCTATCACCTCACCGAGGGTCTGGGTCCTTAATAGAGTAGATCAACAGATCAGGATTCATGTAGGTGATCTTAAATAATTAAAAAAAAAAATCTAGTGGTGATAATGATGATGAGTCCGTGAATAGTAGATATTATACCCTCATAATTTGGGATTTAAAAAACATAACATGTGTTTTGTCTGCAAGAGTAACTGAATAAAGAAAAAAAAAGAACTCCCCTCTTTTAAGTATTCTTTCTCTGTGCCATGTGCGTCTCCCTGTTTGGTTGAACAAATTATTCACGCTTATATGGCCATGCAGGTTTGCAACACTGTACACCAAGCACTTACAAATGAATAAAGTTGTGACACGATGTTTTCATGGCCTTTTCTCAATGGCGGCACCCATACCTACATACATATTAAAGGGATGCATCTCAATAAAGCATGTCAAAGTATCATTATTGGAGGCCCCCAAACTTAGGTCACTACACTTGCATGTGAACAATTGGGGTGATGTGAATTGTCTCTTGAGTTGCTTTTATGTCAAGTTCGTCTTTCACCCATCATGAGAGGGAGGAATTTTGAGTAGTTCGTTGTTGAATTTAAGGCTCATAACTTCTCTTGTATTTTTGGAGCAGAGAGGTTTTGACTTGTTCAGGAGATCAAAATTACTTTTGTTTTTTTAGATTTCAAATCACGTAGTTGTGAGTATGTCACTCATTGGGCTAAAAGTTCAGAAAAATTTGACATCTACTGGCTAGGAGCAATTATAACTTATTTATAAGAAAGATAAATGGCTAGGAGCAGTTATGACTTCCTTGTAAGAAAGATAAATGGCTAGGAGCAATTATGACTTCTTTGTAAGAAAGATAAAAACTTGAGGTAAGAGATGAACCCACTCTTAGGATTAGGAGCAGTGTCTTGA